TACAGTAGATGGGGTAGAGAGAGAAGATGGGAGGGGAGGGGAGGGGGGATAGTAGGGGATAGGAAAGGTAGCAGAATACAACAGTTACTAATAGGGCATTATGTAAAAATGTGGATGTGTAACAGATGTGATTCTGCAATCTGTATTTGGGGTAAAAATGGGACTTCATAACCAATTTGAATCTAATGTATGAAACATGATATGTCAAGAGCTTTGTAATGTTTTGAACAACCAATAATAAAAAAAAAAGAATTTACACTCTAAAAAAAATATATATATATATCAATGCCTAGAACCTACCAGGATTATTTGGTCTGGGGTGCAGACTGGGCCCCTGAGATTTTTAAGACACACCAAGCAATTCTAATGAACACAATCTAATATTGTCCTACTCTGTAATGAATCTGGAATGAGTATAATCTTCACTTTTCTGCTAGGTAGGTCTTTCTAATGTATTTCCCTCTAAGTAGCAACTATACCCTACATAAAGCTGATCCAAGATTTTCTATGAAATTCTGAGAAACTACAGCTTCACTAGTAGAGTCACCAATTAAGATCCTTTTTAGATGTTACTGTTGATCTACTCTTCATGGTTCCAACAATAAAAAATCCAAAATGTGACCTTCAGAGTCACCAAAACTACCCTCACTTATTCACTGAATTGTTAACAGTGGCAATGTTTAATCCTGAGTTTTATCACCAGCAATAATTTGAGAACTCAATAATTTGAGAATTTTTGGTGTAGTTTATTTAGCAGAATTTGGTATCTGATAAAACTGTTCTCATTTTTTTTCCTACATAAAATATATCAACTCTTTGAGAAAATGAGTCAGGCCTGTGTACATGTTCAACTTATCTATTATAATTCTGTGCCTGACTAGCAAAATGAGATTTTATAATTAAATGTAGTGATTTAAAAACAAAATGTTCAAAAGTAAAAATCCAAAACAAGCCAAACCACCAAAAGGCTCAGTTTAACAGGAACCTTAAAATCAAACTGAGTAATAATCCCTACCCTATGATTAACAATTTAAGGGAACAAAACTTCTTCCTTAAAAAGAATGAAATAAGAAGAATTATTGAACTGTTTATAGACTATATTCAAACATATTAAGATTCATGACTACTCAGTGATGAGAAAAGACTGGGAATTCAAGTATGTATCAAAAGGAATGTTTTATTTGGCTGAATAACCTAACGATGTTTTATAAAAAAACACAATTCTGTTCAGATGCTCTGCATTTTCCTCCCTGTCAGAATGAACAATTAAATGTCCTCTTTTCTCTTCCCTTTCAGAAACCATTTAAATTCTCTCATTATTTTGAAATTGCTCTGACTTTTTATCCTCTCACTCTTTAAAACATATGCTATATTATTAAGTTTGAATTTTTATAACCAAAATGTTAAGTTTACTATTAACCATATGCCTGGCCAAACACCTACTGCCATTTAGAAGGTACCATATTTATAATTTGCTCCAAGTGACTATTTTGGTTTTATTTCCACTTACTTATATATAGCACATTTAATTTTCCTGTTCAAGTGGTCAGTTAATAATTTATAAAACTTAGCCCAGATGAGATCCAAGATTATTAAGGCCTTGAAGGTATGTTTTATTTTAATTTTTTTAAAAATTAAGTTTTCCTTAAACTCTATAGCAGCATATCCACCCTTATAAAGCATTCCAAAAATCTGAAGGACAGACAGAAGAATTTTCTGCTGCTACAAATAGAAAAACCACTGTAGACCTCACGAACATTTCAAAAGCAATTATGAGCAATGAAAACTTGGAACTGCCTTTTCATGGAGTTGTCCTCTTAAAAAGAGTTAAAGCCACATTTTCAGATATTTTTTTCCAGAGAGCAGTTTACTTGAGGTACATAAAGTGAAACAAATCAGTTCTATGCAAAATAATAAAAATATTTTGTGCTTTTATTTATAAATTAATTCCATAAACAAACTACTAAGCATGACAAACAACAAAGCTCTTGGCTTCCATCCTTTATAGCTAGAAAATAAATAATTTTAGTAGCTATCTAAATTTGCCTCCTGCTTTCACAGAAATAAATGTATTATTACATATCCTTATTTTCAAATTGTCACTAACCTGTGACATGGACTTAAGAGTAGATACCACTTTGTTTTTACACAGAATTGTAAAGTCTTTTAAAAAGAAACTAACTTAGAGTAACTTTCTATTAGTAGGAACTGAACTTCATAAAATATAAAATTGTTATAAATCCTTAATTTAATTAAGATTAATCTGTGGGAATACTGGTACAAATCTGCCACCCACAATTAGGTACAATAATTATGTACAGAGAAAAATTTTAGTATGGTCAGAAAAAGTTTTCATATTCTTGAAAAGCAGTTTCTCAGTATTCATTCTGTTTCTGTATACATCTCCATCCAAAAAGAAACAAGATCATCATTTGACTTTTTGTTTTTTTCTTGCTTGAAACTGTTCTGTTTTGTTTTTTACAGATTTAACCAGCATTGATAAGGCAGGATCAACAGACTTCTTTTGTGATGTCTTTTCAAACTCACTCTCTTTTCTCTTTATTAAAGCCTGAGTGAGTTCTTCTTTTTGTTCTCTTTGCCGGGCTTTCTCCTCAAGAATTTTTTCCATAGCTTTTGTTTTCTTGAAGTTAGGGTCTGAAGGATCCAAATTGAACAAGTGGGAAGTATACATTGCCTGAAACCGTGCATCACTAACATTTACCTGCAAATTCAAAATAAATAAATAAAATAAAAATTAGTAAACAAAAGGCCCAGACATGAGGCCAAATTTAGAAAGGTAGCGTGTTGTTGGTCATATAAAATACACATCTGAGCATTTTGCACTGGTTTATTATAAGAATTTCAGTGAAGTTTTAAGGCCTAACTTTGGACCATAAGGTGAAGGGCTTGTCATTCTTATTGCATAAGGACAATCTACTTGAAAGGGAACTATAGTGGTCCATACACTGGCTTTAAACTACAATGACTACTTTGACTATAGGAATGATACCCCTTGTTTACAGCATGAAATAGATTTCTGTCCAGCATCAATTAGCCAATCAGGATGTCTCCTGCTGAGTTTTGTACAAAATTATTACACTCTGAGTACCTTTGAAGAAATTTTTAACTTGGTGTCAAGATAAAGTAGCTACTGAAGATGACTCATGAATCAAGATTTAATAACCTTGATGGGAAGGAATTCACCCCAAGACAAAGATCTAGTAAGATACAAGTCTTAAATTTATCTTCTACCTTTCTATAAAAACATTACAGTTCCACATTTAAGAGTGTATTCTTCACTTCAGCCAGGCTTTTGAGTATTGCCAGGAATAAGGGTGACCAGAAACAGAAACATGAATCTACTTGGAGATGGATCATAGCAAGGTCAGATGTGATACCAAAAACAACAAAGAAAATCTCATGAAAAATATTTTTATGCATGATTATTAATGTGTAAAGGCAGCTCTTATTATAGGAGATTTGACTACAAATCATTACTTGTTTTTTTTTTTTTCATTAGAAAATCAATTCACCAACAACTTCAGTGAAACAAATGTAAAACTGACTCATACAAATTGGAGCCTCAAGAGGCCTCCAAGTCCTTCTTAATCAGAAGTTATCTATATACTACCCTCATTCTTTAAAATTTCTCTATCTTCTGGGTCTTTTCTTCTATGTTAATTGTTGGAAATCTTTAAATAGTTAATCTTATTGGCTGTTTTTAAGTTTTCTGTAGAGGGCTCAAAGTCATGCATAAGGACTCTGTGGCCATTAGGATTATGTACTCAGCAAAGAGGAAAAAGAAGGAGTGATGGAAATAAGAGAAAAATAATTAAAAAAGCATGGGCTACTGTGCTGGCACTATACACAGCCAGAGTGTAACTCAGTGTGACATGAATCTGTTATTCCTCTGCTGGGCTTAATGAAGCAAGCCTTTCCCAGCATGAGCATCTCTGAGTGTGGGTTTAACAATAAAAGCTACATATTCTTTAGATATAACATGGCTACCAAAACTAAGACAACTATTTCACCTACTGCTTATTAACCAAAGAAAGAGTGATTTGATCTACACTGGGGATGACCTGTGTTAGCTTGTAGCTTTGGCTCCATCATGAGCCCTTCTCAAGACCTTATTAAGGGTAACTTTGACTACACTTAATTTCTACCTCCACAGTTGACTTTAGATTCAATTCTACCTTTAAGAAACTAATAACTTGTATTCTTGGTTACCTCAAAGTCATCTTCTACTAATTCCTTCTTTTTCATAAGTTGCTTTTTCTTCTTTTTGCTCAGATTCTGGTGCTCCACAATCTTGTTATAATTGAAGTGTTTCTTGCTGTCCTCCTCCTCATCCATCATGAGCAAAGCCATTTCAGCCTGTGGAGAGAAGAAAAAATTCAAATGTAAAAAAGTGGGTTTCTTTTATCACTGTTATTTTAAGACTGTTATTTATATACTATGAATATAGAATAGAAAACCTCATCAAGATGCTGGCTGGCTTACTCACAGACAATGATATGAACCATCAGCCACAGGGTGGGGAGAGACATGATAGCTTGCTCTTTTTAAGCAATAACACTAAATCTACCAAAAGACACTAAATCTATTTTGTGATGCAAACTGAAGTTTCCAGATGTGCACTTTAACAACAAGGAGAATTTCTTTTGCTTCTGTTGCCTTTACTTTTTCAACACTGACACTGTTTTTGAGGGTAGAATCTTAACATTTGCTTCTGAAATCAAGTATGTCTGTTTTCACCAAACAGACACACACACACACACACACACACACACACACACACATTTATCAAACATGGTATTAAGTTTTTTAAAAAATAAAAAGAATCAAACAAGTCAGGCATGGAGGCACACACCTGTAATCCTTGAGGCAGGAGGATTGCCAATTTGAGGCTAGCTTCAGCTGAGGATGTGGCTCAGTGATAAAGAACCTGTGGGTTCAATACTCAGTGCCTCCACCCACCAAAAATCAAGTAAACAACTTCATATACTAGAGAAAATAGAGTATGCTCCCTGACCTTTGCAAATCTTCCTATATTTCCACTTTGGATTGCTTTGACTTCCTTCATTTCTGGAACTGGCATTTACTGGTGAATTCTTTTCAGAGCCATTTTCCACAAAGATTTTCATTTCTTTTTAGTTTTTAAAATTTTTACTTATTTATTTATTTTACTTGTTGATGGACCTTAATCTTATTTATGAGGTACTGAGAATTGAACCCAGTGCCTCACACATGTTAGGCATGTAGCTACCTACCACTGAGATACAACCCAGCCCACTTTTGTTTCTCTTTAAATAATCTTATGAGTATTACTTATATGCAATAAACAGAAAATAGAAAAATGCATTTAGATGCAGCATTTTGTCGACCTGTGACTCACTTGTAGACAATGATGTGAACACCAGTCACAGGGGCATGTTGGTTCCAATTCCTTCCTCAGCAAAGAATATATAAACTATGGACCTTTGGAGTCACTGAAGCATAAGATCCACTGCAGTTTTGATGAAGACTTATATAAACAGAAATTAGCATTCCACAAGCCATAATAGCAAAGTCTGTGTTACAGGGTGGATTCAGATTAAATTAAAGCTAACAGTAATATTTTTAGGTTTCAATAGTAAAATTTTCCTAGTTATAGTAAAAATTTTTTAATAATGAAAAGATTTTCTTTTAATCATAAAGGGATATACTCTGGGCTTTAGGCATTCTACTAGTTGAAATACATTTGGCAAAGATATTTATTTATTTATTTATTTATTTATTTATTTATTTATTTGGCATCAGGGATTAAACCCAGGGGTGCTTAACCACTGAGCCACATCCTCAGCCCTTTTCAATTTTTATTTCATTTTTAATTTTCTTCCTTTTAGTTGTCAATGGACCTTTATTTATTTATATGCAGTGCTGAGAATTGAATAAGAATTGAACCCAGTGCCTCCTACATTCTAGGCAAGCACTCTACCACTGAGCCACAATCCCAGCCCCTTAATTTTTATTTTGAGATAGGTCTTGCTAAAGCGCTTCAGCTGGCTTTGAACTTGTGATCCTCCTGACTCAGCCTCCCAAGCTGCTGGGATACTGCTAAAATATAATTACATAAAATTTATGTATAAATTTCATCACTAAAATCATTTATTTTTAAAATTAGGAACAATAAAAATTCACATGAACAACTTCAATTAAATTGCACATTTCAAATATCTACTAAGCATGTAACAATGACCACATTTTACCTTTTGTCTTTCTATTTCAGTTTCTTCCTCCAGAGATGTACCATCTTTTGCAGATTTCACTGATTTTTTCTTTATACCTGGCACAAAAACCAATATAAGACAATTGAAAATTATAGAACTAACAACAATAATCTGTTTATGCTATGAATAAAAATGCAAAATATCTAGGAGTAATTTTAAAAATCAATGTGTCACCTCCTCAAAAGAAGAAATACACATAATCAACAAATATATGAAAAAATGTTCAACATCTCTAGCAATCAGGGAAATGCAAATTCAAACTACCTGAGATTTCACCTCATTCTAGTCAGAATGACAATTATCAAGAACACAAATAAATGTTGGCAATGAGGGGGGAAAAACGTACACTTATCCATTGTTGGTGGGACTCAAATTAGTACAACCATTCTTAAAAGCAGTATGGTGATTCCTCAAACATACAACAATAAAACCCCACATGACTCAGTTATCCCACTCCTTGGGGTTTATCCTAAACTGTTAGGAGCCACAGCAAAAATATTGATACAGGCACCTTTGGATTTTATTGACTGCCAGCCAGCAATTCACATTCATATGGTAATTGGACTCATGCTGTTTAGCTGGGCCCATTTCAGGACTCAGGTTACTCATGTCACTCTTGTAATGGGAGAGTTCCCATTGGTTGGGAAAGGATGGTAGGAGGGTGTTCCGGGGGAA